GTAAAGAAGGAACCTAAAAAAAAGAGTTAAAGAAGAACACTGTAAATTGTAGGACTCATTCCAAAATCGTAAGAATAACAACTTCAATGTAATCGTATATATAGGGCGTTTTTGAATAATCAAATCATTATCTTCTAAAAAAATGGGATCCTAAGATATCATCTTGGAGATTTTCGGCTATTAATCTAGAAAAAAAATCAATTATATTGATTTAAATTTACAAATTAATTGACTTGCTTATTTTATGATTTTTAAAATTCAAATCATTATCTTAAATCGATTCATTTATGTGGGATATTCTGTGAGATAAATTATGAATGATAGTGACTTTAATTTGACTCTAAAATATTTTGCAGATTTAATTGGATTAGATTAGATTTTATAGGTTAATAACCAAATTAATGATATGCTAATTTAAAGAGTTATTTAAAAAAACGGATTTAAATTTTAAAGCCAAAAGCTATAAATAAGGGAGTTAAATTAGAAACAATATTAATTATAGAAATTGATATCTTCTATATAAATAGAATGATATGTTTCCATTATAACATAATTGTTGAATTTAAAGATTATATAATTAAATGTAATTGTGTTTGAATTCTATTTGGTAAAGATGATGTCATCAATTTGATATAATGGTGGAAAACATATGATTGAAATCCAATCAATGACCCTGATTGCTTCATTGGTGAATTAAAGATTCTATTTTAATAATATTTAGAGATTATGCTTCTTTTAACATTTTCAAGTTTTTGAGCGTTGAAGTATTAATTAGAAATAAGCATAGGCGGACACCCGTCTCATTTGGCGAGAACTGGAATCGGAACCGGAACCGACGATTCCTAAAATGTTAGAACCGAAACCGGAATCGCTCTAGGCGGTTCTTAAACTTTTGGAACCAGTCCCTGAACCGTCGGTTCCGGTTCCGGAAACGGGTAACCCGGTTATATTAACTTTGTTACTTTTATCGATAAAACCGCAACTTAGTTCGATCCAAATCGAATCAATTCGGATCAAAGAGGGATAGAATCGGACCAGTACATTTTAAGTCGGTCTAAGTAACACACACACACACATTTTAACTCTCTCTCTCTCTCTCTCTCTCTCTCACACACACACACACACACACACACATATATATATATATATATGAACGGTTTCGGCGGATAGCGGTTCCGAAAAAATGAGAATTGGCACCGGCACCGCTTAAGGCGGTTCCTTAACTTTAGGAACCAGAATCGGAACCGCTTAAGGCAGTTCCAGTTCCAGTTCCAGCAGTTCTGAGGCGGTTCCGGTTTCAAAAACGGGTACTCGGTTCCGATGTTCTTCCCTAGTGTTTATTGTAATCTACTAATATTGGATACGTAAAGAAAATTCTTTATTTGGTTGAGAAATATATCCGGTTATTTCAGTAAATATAAAATGGAAACTAGCGTTTTAAATATATGTTTGGCATTAAATTTAGACTTACACAGAAACTCTATTATACATAAATATTGACAAAATTACATAAATGGTCCTCATGGTTGATAAAATCGATCAATCATGGTCCTTATGACGAATTCTTTACACATATGGTCCCCGCGGTTTCAAAAACTTGCAAACGCGGTCCTTTTGACTAACGGTTTTAACTTTTTCAGTTAAGTCCTATGTGAAATGACATATTTGCCCTTCATGCATAAGGACGCTTTATGTAACATATTTCTACCACAGGGACCATTTATGTAATTTTCTCTTTTATTTATTATTTTTTATTATATATTTAAGTATTTAGATTTGTTTAAATATACTGTTTAATATATATATATATATATATATATATATATATATATATATATATATATATATATATATATATATATATATATATATATATATGCTAAGATTTTTTAACGGTTTGCTCAAATTATTTTTTCTAATCATTATGACATTTTCTTCAAGTAAATTTATTAATGTTTTTTATTTTGACGTTTTATTCGAATATTATTTATTTATTTATTAGTATGTTTATATTTGTTAAAGGATTTCACGATTATTGTAATTATAATTTGTAACTTAATTCACTTTCAATTATGTTTTCATTTTTTTTCTTTTATCAGGTTATATAATTATTATTTTTTTAATTCAAATATTTAACTATATAAGGTTGTATAATTATTATTTTTGTAAACTAATTTATTAACATTTTTTATAAAAAAGTGTAATATGTTTGTTAAACGTGAATATCATTAATATAGATTTGGTAAACATAGGCTACGCTGAGACCGTCTCACAACATTGCCGAGAACGACCGGGTTATTTCACATTGGATTTAATTGTAATTATTTCGAGTTATTTTTTTTTTAGCAGTGTTGTAAAAAATCACAACTAGATCCCGATTAATCTCAGATTAATCCCTAAGCGCAACCTGACCGTTTAGAGGCCCTTGCGTTGTGATTTTTTACAACACTGCTAAAAAGAAAAAATATCGAAATAATTAGATTTAAATCCAATGTGAAATGACCTGGTCGTTCTCAACAATGTGTGAGACGGTTTCAGCTTTGCATATGTCTACCTAATCTATATTAATCATATTCACGTTTAACAAACATTTTAAACTTTTTTTATAAAAAAAATGTTAATACATTAGTTTACAAAAAGAATAATTATACAATCTTATATAGTTGAAAAATGTATTCGAACATAACGTCAAATAAATAAATAATATTTGAATAAAACGTCAAAATAAAAAACATTAATAAATTTACTTGAAGAAAATGTCAAAAAGATTAGAAAAAATAATTTGAGCATAACGTTAAAAAATGTTACTATATATATATATATATATATATATATATATATATATATATATATATATATATATATATATATATATATATATATATATATATACGTCAAAATAAAAAAACATTAATAAATTTACTTGAAGAAAATGTCAAAAAGATTAGAAAAAATAATTTGAGCAAAACGTTAAAAAATGTTATCATATATATATATATATATATATATATATATATATATATATATATATATATATATATATATATATATAAACAATAAATTTAAACAAATCTAAATCGTTAAATATATAATTAAAATAAATAAAAATATAATAAATAATAAAGAAAATTACATAAATAGTCCCTGTGGTAGAAACATATTACATAAAGCGTCCTTATGCATGAAGGGCAAATATGTCATTTCACATAGGACATAACTGAAAAAGTTAACGCCGTTAGTCAAAAGGACCGTCTTTGCAAGATTTTGAAACCACAGGGACCATCTGTGTAAAGAATTCGTCATAAGGACCATAATTGGTCGATTTTGTCAACCATGAGGACCGTCTATGTAATTTTGTCATAAATATTTGTTTATTGTTTGTTTAAAATAGCTTAATAGAGATGTAGAAACTCTATTATACGTAAGTATTTGTTTCTTATTTGTTACTTTAAAATAGCTGAATAGGGGTAATTAAGCTCAGCTCCAACCGAATCAAAATATTCTGAAAACCAAATTCATAGATATTGAGAAACCGAGAACTAAACCGAATTGAAATATAGTTGATTACCAATTGGTTCGTGTTGATTCGGTTGCAATAACAAATATACATACAACATATTGGGTCTATTATACAAATATAAAAGTATTATGTACATTATATGTACATTAATAATATTAATATTCCCCCACAATTTATTGGGAGATCAAAAGAAACAAAGTATTACAGATATTTAGATTTGACGAATCAAAAGTTCTTAACCACAGAACATTCAAAAACTATCTTTGAATGAAACCATTAAAGGTATCAAATAAGGCATTATAAGGGGTTCCATTCAGACTTAAGCTCATGATTTTAATGTAGACGTTTAATCATGAAACCAAAATTTCAGATTTAATTCGTTTTTGGCCCTCTTATCCTATGGTAGCGATTAATTCAACCGAGGGCATGAGAAGTATTATTCTTATAATTTATAACTCTAAATTTATCGTGTTTTATGTGTTTGTTTACTTATTCATTTACTCTTTCAATGATATCGACTTAATTTTAAAGCAACCAATAATATAACAAATGATGGTCTTTTATAATGTCGAAAAATTATATGATGTGAATAGATGTTTTTGGATTTTTCGTGTTATATATTATCTTGTTTTTTTGTGTTAAGCAGTACTATCTTTGCTTAACCAACCAAAACTATACCTTTTTTATAATTGAGTAAATTACACCCATATTCCCTATGGTTTAAGGTAATTTGCATGTTTCGTCTCTATCTTATTTTTTTTAACTCGGAAGGTTCTTATTATTAGGTTTTTATTACGCGTTTGGTCCCTATCTTACCTAAAAATACTATTTTCCCCTTGATTTTTTAATTTATTTAAATACAAACCCCCACCCCACCCCACCATTTCACCTTACCTTATCTACTCTATTATTTTTTCCTATTTAAATAATAATCTTTTTAGGTAAAATATAGACCAAACGTGTAATAAAAACACACAGTAGAGACCTTTCAAGTTAATAACCAAACACGCAAATTACTCTAAACCATAGGAAATTCGTGTAATTTACTCTCTTTAGTTCTTTAAACCTATAATAATAATATTGCTTCAGTTGATTATTTTATTCAATAAAATATTTTTAATACAAATTATATAATTATAAACACTTCATAATTTAATAGTAATCACATCTTAGAGGCATCTGAGAAAGGAATTTAGGTTGTTCCTTAATTTGTGGGTCGTACTGAACCATTCCGTCGTGATGTCATCTCGTAGATTTGGTCGCCGGCCGGCCTTTCTCCCTCTTCTTTCTCTCACATTCATTCATTCTCTCCGCCGTTGTTATATTATATATATATATATATATATATATTATATATATATATATATATATATATTATATATATATATATATATATATATATATATATATATATATATATTTATGTTTATGTTTACATATATATGCTTAACGATCTTATAACAATTAACACAATCACACCATGGTTAAGTTCAAATTCTCTTTGTCATCTTTCCGACTATGTCGACCCAAAAACACTTCCCATTTCTTCTCCCCCATCAACCCTAAAGTTCTCGAGATCGCTTACCCTACCAGTACCATTCCCTCGCCACCTCCCACCACCCCTAGCAGCCACCAACAATCCCGCATATCCAAATCGAAAACCGCACCTCTCACCACCACCCCGGAGACACAGAACTCTCCTGTTTCTTTCACCAAAATCTCCGGTGATCGGAGAAGTAAACACAAGAAGACGAACAACATGGAGTGCTCTTCAGATGAAAGTGGTTGGTTCAGTAACAGCGATAGAGAAACCGATAGCATGAGCATCAGCGTTGATTCATATAAGAAGGATCATGATGAGAGTGTGGTGTACGTTAAGAATACTGGTGGTGGGACGACGGAGAAGAAGATGAAGAAAGTGGAGGAGAAAAGGAAGTCGAGGATGATGAAGGAGAGCCTGACGGTGGTGAAGTGGTCGAAGGAGCCGTATGACGATTTCAAGAAGTCGATGTTGGAGATGATATTGGAGAAAAAGATGTTTGAAGCTAAGGATTTGGAACAGCTGTTGCAGTGCTTTTTATCTTTAAATTCCAAACATCATCATGCCGATATTATATCTGCATTTACGGAGATTTGGGAACTGTTGTTCCTTTGAGCATGCATGCCCTCCAATCCGTATTGAAGAAGGCATTGATACAAGCTTAATTAATTCTTTTATATGTACGTGTGTATATATATATATATATATATATATATATATATATATATATATATATATATATATATATATATATATATATATATATATATATATATATATGTACATGTAACGAAAATGAAAGTGTTATGCATACGAGTAATTAACACAAGGTATATATCCATATATATGCATATATACCCTGTGAACAAGCTCGGTAGTAGTGTTACAAAAAATATCATTCATTTTTTGTATTATATATAACCAATATAATATATATATATATATATATATATATATATATATATATATATATATATATATATATATATATATATATATATATATATATATATATATATATATATATATATATATAAGGTTAGGTTCATTTGAGACCACCTATATTTTGTGAGACCGTGAGACGCATTTTTTTATTTTTTTATATTTTTTTATATTTTTTTTAGTTAATTAATGTTTTGAAAATAATATTTAAAAAAAGAATTTTTAGATTTTTCCATTTATTTTGCATTTTAAAATTATTTTAGAAATATGTACAGTGTAATATTCTATTTAGAATATTTCACGTATTTTA